TATTAGGTGTTGGAATTAATTCGTAGCGTTTTACAAGTGATGGGAAGTACTTTCATTAATGTATTTTTTAATGCTCATGTGAAATAAATAACATTCTTTCATTAAAAAACGCTACGAATTAATTCCAACACCTAATAATATTTTTAACAAATTTCTACATCAAATTTCTGCAAGAAAATCCAAAGCATATCATAACAGAAAACTTTGTTTAAAAACATATTAAATTGCGAATTTATTGTAATGAGAATTATGATAATCTAGTGAATTGCTAAAATATTTTTAGGCAAATTCTTTTGCTAATTATTGTGTACTTTGAACTTCACAGAGAATTATCGTCTGCTGGAATGAATATAATCTAATTAAGCAGTACTGCGAAATCACTAATTACAAGTTTGTTGTCTGTCTTTTTTTTATCAGGAGATTTGAAAAATTACAACTTATCAAATTGTTTAGTCTGGAAAGCAGATGGAGGATTCTTTCTGTCACCAAAGAGAAAATTACAAATTGTAAAGAAGAGCTACTATTCATACATATATACACGACAGTCTGATGTAAAATTTATTTAATTTCATTTCTCACATATTATGTCGTTATGTTATCATAATTGCGATATATCTTTATTGTATTCATACAACCGCCAAACGAAATCTCATGAAGGGAAATTCTTACATTTACAATCGCTTTCTATTTTAAATTTAAAGAACTATGCGTTCGTGTGAACGAATTAATAATTTGGATTTTTTTCTTCCGTTTAACTTATTTGCTTTCTTTTACGCAGGGTGTTAAATTCCATTATGTGGAAGCGGGAGACAAGAATAAACCACTCGTGTTATTATTACATGGATTCCCGGACTGCTGGTTATCTTGGAGAAAACAGATCCCATGTCTCGCAGAACACTATAGGTGCGTTTGAAAATTTATGTTTATAAAATAAAATATTTTACAGCACACCCGTTGGCGTTGTGACATTCACATTTTAATGCTCTTTCAGAGTAGTGGCTATAGATTTAAAAGGATTCGGTGATAGCGACAAACCGCTCAACAAACGATCTTACAAACTCGAAATTTTAATAAATGAATTGAAACAATTCATTTTGACTCTCGGTGTGAAGACGTGCAGCATAATCGGCCACGACCTAGGAGGACTTCTGGGATGGTACATGGTCGCTCTAAACAAAGATCTTGTTTATAAATTTATAGCCATTTCGAGTCCACATCCCAATATTTATTGGAATAGAGTATCAAAAAATTCTATTTTAGACAAAAAGTAAGTATTTTTGAAATTCCGTTTATGAAGATTCCTGAAGACTTTACATGAAATTTTATTATATATTTATGTATTTTAATTGCAAACGCACAATGTGACGTTTTAGATGGCTACATTTTAGCAGATTACCATTTTTGCCAGAAATAGATGCGCTTAAAGAGGACTTATCTATTATCAATGAAGTATTTCGACATCTTCAAATATCTCAAGATGACAAAGAAAAAAGTTATGTCGAGGCGTATAAATATGTCTTCAGTAGGAAAGGTAAATTAATATTAAGTCTGATATGTAAAATAATTTTTGTATCATATGTTATTCTTCTTTTATGTCTTTCATATTCAAAATATTAATACAATCTTTTGTAGAGGATTGGACAGGACCGATTAATTATTATCGCAACCTACCATTCACAAGACTGAATACAGATAGCGGCGAACAGATAGACAACAAAACGCTACTTCTAGTTGGAAATATGGATCCTTTTGTAACAATAGAAAGCATTATTCAAAGTGCCGAATACGTAGAAGTATCTAGGGTTAAAGTCATACCACAGACGCAACATTTTCCGCATCAAGAAAAATCGGATGCCGTAAATAAGGCAATTATTAAATTTCTAAAAGGTGAGTTTTTTTCGCTCGTACAAAATTTCCTTACAAAAATAATATTATTTAATAATAATGTCGATATACTGTATACTTTGCATATATAAAATATTTTAGGCACTACATATAATTTGGCGCTTTCAAAAACGCCCGTAAAGAGTCTCGTGTCTTCCTGGCTAGGATCTTTGAGTAACACCGTTAAATATGGTAATCAAATGATTGACGTTGTGCACAAACGAACTAATGACATTGTAAATGTGTTACCGAATAAAGCACTTTATTTGGGACAAACAAGTTAAATGGTGTTACATCAGCGTTACGTTATTTAGAACTTTGTACTTCATTACGACAAATCTATATATCCCATCTACGCTAACACAGACTACGAAACTCATAAAAGGCTGATTTTGTCTTATTTATTACTTATTTCTTATGTAAGTATAACATTAATATATAAATGGGAATTGCAATTTTTGTGAATGATGAAATCTTATTGTATAAAAATATCTATCACATTCACTTTTATGATATATCTCGAATTTTTTAAAATATTTTATATATACATGCGGCAAGGTCTACATAAGTAATATCTAAAGAAATGAATTTTTATAAATAACCATTATCTAGAAACAAGAACATTAATGGAGAGCAATTTAAAATCTGTGTAATCTAATATTATTTTTTAATGTCTTCAAAACCAACGTAATCTTCAATTGAATAATATTAATATGGATTATATAATTGATATTAATATTTTATAACATTACATAATTAATATTATAATTATATATGTAATATAGCTATAAATAGAATTATAATAATTATGTACAAAAACATTTCTGTATCAAAATTGTAATATAAGAAGTATTTAATGTAAGAATTTTACTAGATATTAATTGTATATCGATTAGCTGTTGTGCAACAACAGATAAACAAAATTTTGTTGTATATTTGAATCTCAGAGCGCATAGTGGCAACAGATATTGCTTTTATAATAATTGAACACTAAGAAGCAATATTGTTGGTCATTTTTAAAGTCATAAGTTATCATAAAATGCAATATACATTATATAAATATATAATTGTTACATAAAATTTGTGATACAAAACATTGGTATTATATGTCTTGTATATGTATATATATATATATATATATATCTCGCGTCATGATGCTTCGCTTGTCTTAGCGCCGAGACACTATGTGTCTCCAGATATAATAACAGTACAAATTATGTATGAAAATTCTCTTTCTTTTCAGACATGATTATGATAGTTCATTTTAAAAAAGTGTAATTATACCAATCTTTTGTACAAACTCGATACTTGATAAAAACGTCGATGTATAAAATTAAATGGTTAAAAACGTACCATAATTTTTAAGATATTTAATTATGGTAAATTATTGTACAAGTCAGTGCGTATGTCGCGTATCAGTTACCAAGTCAATATTCTTCCTTGGATTTTCCTCTGAAAGATATAAGATTTGTTACATATTAAAATTGTAAAATTAATAGAAATATTTTATAGTATTTATAGTTTCATACTTTCCAAAATTTTCGGCGTCTTCTATTGTTTCTGGTAATTCGTAATTCATCGTTTCTGGTAAAAATAAACAGAGTATAGCGCCTAATATCGGCGCTATGCCAAATATTACCGGAGGCAGCCAAGGTTGAATAGTACCCTATAAATGATTACGTCTCTTTAATCTTAAAATAACTTATTATTTGTACGTATATAAATAAATATATATAAAATAAGATATACTCTTAATATAAAACTATTTCATTGTAGAAACATCAGGTAATATATATATATATATATATATATATAATACGCATCATAAATTACCATTGTGACAATGAACGGTGCAATTATACTTCCGATCCTGGCAGAAGTACTTCCCAACCAACGCCAACATTTCTTACGACAGTCGGAAATACTTCACAACTGTACAGGTATACTGTAGGAAAGCTAATAGCCATACCCACGAGCCCCAGTGAAGCTAAAAATATCCGGATGTTTCCGTTGGATATAAGAGTTATCAAAAGCAAACTCATACCAGATAAGATATTTCCGCCAATTAAAATTTTTAAACGCGAAACTCGCGATATCAGAAACAATACTATTATGGTTCCAGGTATTTCCATGGCGGCTGTAAGTCACAAAAAATGTTACAACATATAGTAGCAGAATTTAGTGTAAAATTTATTATTAATTTTACCAGAAACTGCGACGTTGATGAATATATTGCCGTCAAGATGACCCATGTATTGCGCCAATCCGAAGAAACAGATACCACAGACGAACCAGTTGATACTCACATATGTAGTTTTCAATCTCAAATTCGGGGTTCTAAATAAATGCGTGATATTGTATTTCTCATTATTCTTCGCGTGTCGGATTGTCATCTGATTCTCATAAGTTTCAAGCGCTAGCTTAACATTTTCCACTGGTATCTTGTTTCTTCCGGCAGCTTTCAGCAAGATTCGTTCTGCCTGTCTGTATTTGCCTATAGCTAGTAACCACCTCGGTGATTCCGGAACAATCCTATTTTACAAAATATCGACTCTTAATAATTGATTTCTTGATATATATATATTTCGCAAATCTTAAAAATATCTCTTATTTCGCTTTTATAACAACGTACGTAATTTATGTACATACCAGTAATATGATAATAAGAAAATTGATGGTATTGACACGGCCATTTGAAATCCATACCATGTAAGTGTCAAATAAGATATCAAGGGATTCATTACATGTGCGATTAAAAATGGTACGTGATAAAGAACTGACATAATCGATCGCCATTCAATTCCAATAATCTCCATAACTGCAACCGATTAATTGATAAATTTCATAAATTAAACTTCCTAAATTAATAACTTCATTGCGCTTACAACTTACGTAAAACGAAACTGACAAGCATTGTTCCGCCAGTAGATACGGCACAAAGAAATTTGAGTATTAGGAACAATTCGTACCATGGTGCAAATGCACTTGCAAATCCTGTCACCGATTGCAGTGCAATTGCGATTATTAACGGTTTCTTTCGGCCAATTCTACGAATAAATTTCATTAATATTAATAAAATAAAAAAAACATATATATGTGTATATATATATATATATATATATATATTTTTTTTTTTATTTTTTATATTATTCTATGAAATAATAATCATTTATGTCATTTTGCAACGACTTCGAATTAACGTACCTATCAGCCATCATACTGAAAATTAAATTACCAACAAGCACACCAAACATTGTGCAAGATTGTGCTAAATTAGCCAATTGTTCTCTATCACATACTAAATCCCACTGAAAAAATGAATATTGACATAATTATTCACATATATCTCTTTTTATTGTTTTATATTGGAATACTTAATTATCAATTAATTAATTGATAATACATATATGAAAAAATATATAAGAAGGTCATATTGAATTAAATTATATTAACTTACCTGCGTTATGATGCTCTCTCGGAATATTCGCTTATCGTAACTGAATTCAGTGCACTCTTCTATTGTGCCATTCCCAACATCAACTTCACATTTCATTATCATGGAGTCGTTAGTTGCTGACAAAGGAGCGATGCATGAGAAATTAGTAGGCGGTGCAAGGAACACGATAGAGAGCTGGTGCCAAGCTACTGGAAATTTAACGAGAGAAATCACCACGGCGATCACGATATGCCATGGACCCATAGAGCCCATGGCCTCTTGGATAGGGTCCAACAGTACGTGACCTGAAAACATAATAATAATATTTGAAACAAAAAAGTGTATTTAAAAATATAGATGCGTTCATTAATTTTTTTTTATTAAGAAGTCTTTAATTATATATATATATATATAAAACTTTGTAATTCTAGCAGCTAGACTGGACATAATTATTTTTTTGCATTTCTCCAAACATTCGAATCAGAGAGTATACGATTATAATTAACATACTCTATATTTTTTGGAATCTCTATAAATGCCTCTGAAGTGCTGCTTAAATTAAATTAAGGATGAAATATCGCATCTGCGCTAATTTGTGAGAAATAATCTGAATCGCAAAAAGGTAAATTATGAAAGATATATAAAATTAATCTGTGCAATGATTCTGTAAAATTACTCAATATAATTTACCAATCTTTTGTTTATTTATTCTTCGCTTAAAGATAAGCAAGCTAAGTGAAGTATGATATTAATGTTTTGATATTAGCTTCTATCGATCGCTCTATATTGAATTTTAATCTAAACACACCGCAAGTTCCACAAACCAAATCTAATAATAAGATATAACATTTCCGCACAATTTATGATAATAATAATTAGCACTATTTAATTATCGCATTTAGAAGATTTAACTATTGCAAAATAATGCAAAAAGCGATTAAATAATCATTGTCAGCTTCGATATTCTTTCCTAAATTCTACAAGACATTGTTATCAAACTTGAAAAATTGCACGATTAAAAAATTATAGAAACAATAGAACGGAAAATCTAGACTCGTGACAAAATAATGTATTTTTAAACATCCTTTCATGCAATTCTCGAGAATAAAATTTGTATAAAATTTACATTCTTGTTTTAAACTTGCGGATTGTCTGTTATAATTAAATGATAATTCTACTTGAGTCTGCTGGGCTTTTTCGAATCACAATGAAACTTTTTCACGTTTTTATCCCGCTTACGTGATATCATCTCGTGTGTCAACGGATCCGATGGGATCTGTTACAGTAAACCCATAAAATTCTTCGAACCGGTATTACCTAACAGGACATACACATATAATTAGTGTGATTATGCTGTACATATACCTATATATATATATATATATGCAATTGCAGATATATAACTTGTATGCAATATAGCTGCGTATCGTGTCATTGATACCTATATATAATTGTCCAATGTCTTGCAAGCGAAATCTTAGCAATTTTATCAAAATCGTATAGAATTACGCAGAATTAAGGCCACTTTAAACGAGATACGCAATTAGTTTCAGGATTTAGAATGGAATTCCAATGTAAAACGTTCAAATTTAAAACTCTAAACAGATATTAAAATGATTTATTTTCAGATTTCTATTTTGAATCAATTCTATATTCTCTACGAGTATATATTTTTTGTGTCTACACTTTCATATACGTGCATGTATATTTTAATATTTTATATTAAAATTAATATTTTATATTAAAATTAATAAAAATATATTACTATATTACACATCTCTTGAGTCTTCAATTATTGTTCCTGTATTACATACAGTAAATATAAGATAAAAATTATAAACAAAATTATAAATAAAATTCTATCTGAATTTGAACATAAATTATAGATATTAGCTCAGCTTTAATGAAATTTGAGTTTATAGCTTCAAACAATGCAGGGATTAGAAAAAGATTGTGAGTGCAATGGAATTACGTAGATTCGATTATTGATATTTAACAATAAATGATATAAATTAATGTATTATTATATTATAATTATTATACGGAAAGTTCTTTTTTTCTCCTTTCAAGTTTTACACAAAAGGTCTATCTACACGAGAAAGAAATAGCTATTTTTCAACATTACTATACATAAGTCATCTGTAAATTTCATCTTCATTTTTATAATTTCGCATCATACAATTAATTCATTGAAACAAGTCGTATCTTTATGTATATGTACAAATTATATTACATACAAACTTATTTTCAGCTGAAATTTCAGCTGAATAAAATACCCATACCTATTTTGAATAGCTATATGGATATTTTATTTTTTTCAAACGTTTATAAATAGATATACATATTTAAATAGATGCAATTTTAAATATGAACGTATCTTACGTATTTACGTGTTTCAAACAAAAGATATATTCTAATGACGTTGAAGATAGCAGACGACCGCGCTCGATCAGCGGTTTTCAACAAGGTTATGATTTGAGTGTATATTGCGCAAAAAAATTATTCTAAACAGATGATATCAACACAAACGTTATACATCACTTGAAAATAAAATGACTTTCTAATACCTCCCAGAATGTGTGTGCAAAGTATTAAAAAAAAAGCCCCTCTTAGAAGAAAAGTTTTTAATAAATTTCCAGGTAATATCGTATTATTCATGCCAAATGTAGCATTTAAGTCTCGGAGATCATATATGCTATTTTTTATCGTGTTCTTTTTGTTGAATGCAAATATCACCTTTTAAGATTATTTTCAAGTAATGTATAACGTTTCTGTTGATATCATCTGTTTAGAACAATTTTTTTGCGCAATATACACTCAAATCATAACCTTGTTGAAAACCGCTGATCGAGCGCGGGCGTCTGCTATCTTCAACGTCATTAGAATATATCTTTTGTTTGAAACACGTAAATACGTAAGATACGTTCAAATCATAACTTTGTTGAGAACCGTTGATTGAACGCGTCGCGTTCGTCTGTTAAATCCGTCTCTTTAGCGTCATTTCATTTTACTTGAAAATAATGTTAAAAATAATTACTTTTTTCAATATTATTACATAAATTTTAAATAAACTTCATTTTTCATTGAGGAAATCTTTATGTATAAATTTTATCAATAATTTATTTTTAAAAATGAAATAAAAATAGAATGCGATCACAATCAAGATCCAATCATATTTATTATTGCATAATTATTTTATAATTAATCAAAGGCAGATAATAATATCAAAATACAAAATTATAAAGTACTAAATATTAATTGTATTACTTTTATTATGTATATATAATTTTCCATATATAATTATATTTTTAAAAAACTATCATTTTTTATATGTTTTAACAAAGTGGAGGATTCGAAAGAAAAATGAAATAACCGAATCGAAATCCACATACATAGTCGGTTTACATTATTCATATAGGTCAGAAAACCGACGTATATTAATTTAAATGCATTTTTAGAAACGGAACTTCATTCGATATAACCGTTATTATATTATTAGTAAAAATAAAAAATCGTTAATTAAAGTTTCATTTATTACTGACAAAAATTATAATCATTAAAAGAAAACAAGCCAATGTCTTTCCTTCCTGCAATGTATATTCATTTGCATTGTATATTGTGGGAGAATTTATCATGGAATTTATAATTGTCTACGTAATATATTTGCGAATTTCAGCACAAATTGCAAAGCATAATTATTTGCGAATGGAAAAATTTGCTCAGCAAAATTGAAACGGGCACATTGTACTTATTCGCAATTTAGAAAGACACGATGATTATGGTCGAAGCAGTATTATGAATAAAGATATATGTCACGGTTAATAATAAATATTGATAAAAATACACTAAAACAACATCATTAAAAAAAAACAAGGAGCATTGCAGGAGCAAATATATAACAATATTAATCCCACACTAATATTAACATAATTAGTGTAATTATCGAATGTCAATACGATAATAACATAAATTCGTGCCAATTTTTCTTGGTATCATTTTTCGCTGCTTTTTCGGTTCTACAATCGTTTACGGGATCCGCTATAAAATGAAACTCATAATGTTATACATTGTGATAAGATAAAAACTTCTCTAAATAATAACTTCTATCTTTCTATACAAAGTTAAGATGAGTTTCAAAATAAAATATTATTTGACTTAATAATTGGCTGTATACTTACATAAATAGCTAAAATATACACAAAATACACTTATTGTGCATTAAATACAATATGGAATATCAAAATATATATATTATATAATTTTTTATATTTTAGCGTTTAGAAATGATGGCTTTTTTGTAATAGACACTATATAATCATGTTCAAAATAAGCTAAATGATATGCATTAGAGAAAGGTCATTCGAGTATTATATTTAATGCAAAAGATAACAGCCTTTAAAATATTGTTTAATTTGCCTCTATTCGTTATCGTCTTAAATTCATATAGTTTTACGACAAAATACTTTTTAAATGAAAATGAAATACTGATAATACATAGAAAAAAGTTTAGGTAAATGTTTTCTTTCCGAAAAAGTAGAAAAACTTCAATAAAAAAATCAGTAACTAGCTACATAACTCTCTTAGCATCGTCGCAATGAATCACATTTGAAACGAAGAACGTGAGTGCTCAAACATCGCGAGATTATGCACCGCGAAAATTAGCCATGCATGACACGTGCACATCGCGATGATGCAACTTAAAGGTATACACGAAACATGCCTACTGACTGTTTGAGATATATATATATATAGCGCGTCAAGTTTTTCAAAGTTTTAAAAACGAGCAATTCTTGTCGCGAGGTATGAGGAAATCGACTTACCTTTCATCATGTGACTAATCGCTGATGATAATCCTCGCTGCTATCTTCGCCAAGCACAAATTTATTTTCGATGACAACGTGATTTCCGATGCCACTTATTACCGTACCTGAGCGTCCGAGAGATCAGAGCATACTAAAAACGGATCTTAAGTTTGCCAACACGCAGCTTTATCGACGCAGAAGGGTGAATATGGGACAGCGCGCCTACGACACTTGAAAGATACGAATTCGTATCCGATCATTATCCACTTATCACGTTAATTCTCTCCTCATTTTAACAAATGACCTGTCTCACCTTCTCAGAGACTTCCGCAATTCTGCACCTAGGAGTATACGGAGTTATTTCATCAAACTAGCAGCGATGATAAATTGATACCATGTGCAAATCACTTTCTTACAATGTCATATACTTAAGTGACAATATAAATAAATATACATCGGAGAAGGAAAAAAACACAAAATGTTTCTATAATTGGTATACTTTAATATCAAAATTAATCAGAAATAGACAATAAATAAAATTTATTATATATAATTTAATTCTAAAATGTTATATAAAGGAGAGAATTTTTTCGGTCTATTTCATATTGAAAAACTTTTGTAAATGTAGATTAAAAATGTATAAAAATTACTTTCCTTTGTGAAATTAATTTCAAAATATAACGTATTGCTTATCCAAATTTTCTAAAATCTTGCAAGCTTTATGATTAAAACTTTTTTGCGAATAAAATTTACTTGTCGAATGCAAATTCACTGAGTTTGCTACGAACAGCTCGTTTTGCATCATCTTGACTATTATCTTTATCTGGACTTGATAATTTTCGTTTCTTGAAGAGTTCTGAAGATCTAGTCGCATTGTCTGTGTTCGACTGTGCCATCTCTTCTTTGTATCGTGTCAAACCGATTTTGGTTAATTCAGAAACATTTACCTCAGGAAATTCTTCCTGCAAATTCTTTTTATTTTTGGCGTACCAATTAATAAACGAGTCTTTTTTAGACTCGGTTTTCGATTTTGATTTAACAGGCGTGATTTTGGGCAATGCAGATTTCTGGGGCTTCTCGGGTAAACTATTTAAACCAGCTAAACCTATATAAATATGATTAAAAATATTTTAAATAATGAAAAAGTGTCATAGAATTTAAAATAATTTTTTTAAAACATAAAGATAAAGGGCTGCTAAGATTAATCGTTATTAACATGTTATAAAATAAAAATTTTTTAAACATGTTAAGTTTGTCTATAATCTACATACACAATTCAGAGGAATATGGCTATCGATTACAACATTCCTGTAAATTTTTATTTTATATTGAGCGAGATTGATTATTAATACTGCGATCGAGATCAAATTTTATATGTCTTAGCTATGTAATATTTCCACCGTTTTTGCTTACATTGATAATGATCCAACAGGGATCGAAACATTTGTTTTGTTTGTTACCGGCAAATTAAAGTTTATATTTTAACTAGATGACATGTTTATTTATTAACGATTTTAAAAAAAAATTTTTTTATTTTATAACGATTAATCTTAGGTTTGTAGCCCTTTGTCTTTATGTTTTTTAAATTTATTAAGCTTTATAACATAACTATTTACCTCTTGGCGATAGAGATGGACTTCCAGCTTTTAAAAATGGATTTACTCTTTTTAATGTTTGACTCATGGCTAATGGCTTAATTTCTATCTCTGGTTTTTTAATGGATGGTAAAGACACGTCATTGTCTTCTTGGCTATTAATGTCTTGACTACCGTTAAAATTATCGTTATTTGTAAAATCGTCTTGGTGATTTTCCATTTCTTTTTCTTTTGTATCTTTGGAATCTGATTTTCTGTCAGCAATTGTCTCCAATTTATTTGCCAATGCCATTTTATTTAAACGCAAGGCATATCGTACGGCCAAATCAATCACTTTCGTTGACGCAATTTGTTCGCAAATGTCCACTGCGCGATATTCCAAATTGCTTTTGCAGGCAAGCTGATTGCAAGAGATTACGTATCAAAGATAAGTAATTGAGATTCAATATATTACATTTATAACCGGAAATACTAGAGTAGAAATGAAACAAATGTTACAAGAATTATTTACCGCTATTAAAGTTAACATCGCTTCAGTTTCATCTAATGGATTATTTCCTATCTCCCACAGTTTACGTTCTTTCTCAGTTTTCTCAGATTCCGGTTCGCAGAGAGGTGCAGATAGAGATACCTCGGTAATTATTGGTCGCGGGGTAGTCGGTGGATAATAACTACCTTTGCAAAGAATACATCGCATATTCCGTTCATATTCGCTCACGCCGATTATGAAATAGTGATCTGCTCTACCTTTTCCCTAAAACAGAATCTCAAGTTACGCCCACTATTGAGAAAATTGTCCATAATTTGTAATACCTGTGTATTTGCATCACAGAGCACTCTCCATTGACAAGATCTCTTATCGTATATCCTAATAACATCGTCAGAATCCATGGTAGTGGGCGAACGAGCATCTGACAATCCTAACCACATGAGATCTGATGTTGGTGAAAGCGGAAGCGTTAAAGTTTGACTGCGTAAATGCGCTCCCTGTATTTGTATCCATAGTAAACTTATATTTTGATCACTTGCTGAACCTTTTTCCACAGAAAAGTATTTTACACTTTTGAATACATACATATAATTAGTCATTTTAAATTATGAACTTTTTCATTACATTAACTCATTATATTCAAAATTTTTTTTACCAATTCCAGCATGATAAGCTATTAAAAGATGATTTCCTAGACCATTCATTGCAACTACAGGTCCAGGCAGAGCTAAAATCTCACGTTGTGTCCCTCCTATCATAAATATTCTTAAATTTCTCTTAGATGTTGCTACTGCAATAAAATTATCACCAACCGCTAAGCATTCGCTTTCCTCTCCTTCTGGTAGATCCAAAGACCATTCTTTATTTCCAGAACCCCAACCTAATATAGAAAAACAAGCGAATATATTAAATACTGTTTATGTTCTGATATCTTATAATATAATTTTAAAATATGCCAATGAATTTTGAGACTTTCTTTAATTTATGATTCATAAAATAAATATGTTCATAAATTTTTTTGTTTTATTATATCTAATTCTAATTTTATCTATTCTAAAGTATATAATTACAAATTATTATATACAATAAAATAATTAACCTTGCAGAGCTATCACGACAATTTTACTAGGGCCATCTTCAGAAGCTGTGCAGCTTAGAGCAAGTGCTTGAGTAGATAGAGCAGCTAATGAATGTCGTAAATAATTATTTATGTGCATGCTGCGATGAACTGTAACATCATGAAACTCCACTTCAATACTACACTCTTCCCCATCTTCTGACGAGAAAGATCTAATCATTCCCACATCGTTCCACATCTACATAAAATTTATATTACATAAAGATTAAATTGATAATTAAAGATTGTCAGTGTAAGATACACAAGCTTCATTATTGTTTTGTACCATAAAATACGATAATAAATGAGAGGGCGTAGATCCAGGTTGAAAAGATGATTGCAATTTTACATTAGGTATAAAAGTTTTTGTGTCACATGGAGGTTTTTCAGAGTCTACATCAAAATTAGATTTTTCGTCATCCTCTAAATTGACAGAGGCCTTGATTTTATTCAGGGATATCACGTTTTCGTCATCATCGTCATCATGGTCCGATAAAGCAAGATTATTTTCCATCATGTCTTCATTTTTTTCAAAATCTAACATTACATCACTTGTAGGCTTACTAGTATTTATCTAAAAGGATTATTACAGACATTCTAAATATAGTAACAAAATTTATATATCTGTGTGTATAAAACATATAAATATGTGTGTATTTAAGAGGAATATTCTCTTACCACATCAATGCATCCTAATTTTCCTAATGCATCACAGAATGCGATTTCATTTGAATGATCTATGTGCCACACCAATGCAGTGATTTTGGTATCTTGCTCATGTTCGAGATATCCAATTATTTCCTTAGTTTCAACATTCCATATAACTATCTCTCCATATAGTGAACTAGCTGCGATGCGCGTGCCACACTCAGAGAACTTACAAATGCTGATTTCCTATAAAAAATAAAGATAGAAAAGCAATAATTCAATTATCAGAATAGATAAATCTCAAAAAATTAAGACAGTAACTTACAGTTTTCAAAGTAGGACACTTCAATCTATACAATTCCTTCCAGGATAATCTTTCTACAATAACTATATCTTTGTTAGCTGGATATGCTAAACAACTGCCATCTGTACATTTGAAAGAAGGTGTGCAATATGACTTTGCAATAAAAAAGGAGTTACATTTTGGTACAATATTATTCCAAACATGTACGGTTCTCTTTTCTTTAATATTCCATACTCGAATAGATCCATCAGCACTAGAAGATGCCTGAAAATATTAGTTTCAGAAATATCTCTTTTATTAATAAAGTATTAGAAAATGATGTAATGAATTACCACAAACTCTTCTTTTGGATCTAAAGATAAGCCCAAGATAGGTGCTTCATGACCTTCTAATTCTATACTGTCTAAAGTATTAATGTTTGTGACTTGTATCCGCATATCGCTTTAAAAAAAAATAAGTTGTTCCAGAATTATAAATATATATATATATATATAGATGTAAAATCTGTTCATTACATACCAGGCACCAGATACTATTAAATTACTATCTTTTGCTGTTGCCAATGCTGAGACTGGTGCTGAAAATCTAGTAACTATTCCTTCCTTCTCTAAATCAGGATAAGTAAGTATTTGTACTGTGTTATTGTCATTTCCCACAAAAATTTTACCGTCCTGAAATTAAAACTTTGTTATATATATCTAATATATATATATTTACATTATGTCTTATATACATTATGTCTCTTTTAAACATCATCTTGACAGCAATCCTCTTAAAGAGGATCTTTACAGGTACTCATTAATACTTGGTAACTATTAAGCACCTTTGAGATAGCAGTAATTGCTTGTTCCGAAATACAACTGGTGGTCGGGTCATCGTCCATTAAATTTAACCAGGATCTAACATCTCCATCGCAACCACACGTAACGAGCCCTCTCCTACAATCCCAGGCACATTCAATAATAACTTTCTGACAGATTCAGTATATATACACAAATAATATACATAATGTCATTTACTTTTCGCCAGAATAATAGCAAACGTCGGTGTGTCCTTCTTGATGAGCATATCGCATGGGTTTTCTTATTAATGACATGTTCACGAATTACCGCCAAAAGATTCAGGTGATAAGTTAAAAAGCACTTGTATATCTTTCGTCAATCTATAAATATTTCCAAATACCTGTTAACTTACTAACACAAAATACAAAGCAAATATACAAACCGTTTTTATAAGAAACGTACCGTTTGATATTTATTCGTTTTTCATTTTTAATCATGCAATTATACCCACTGTTTTATCTATGCATTTCGTTTACTCCGGTTGTCTTTTCCCCTTCTTTTTCAAAGAGAAGCAAAACAAAGACAGGCTGTAAGAAGAGAGAGTGGACATGCCTGTATTTTAAATGAAATCCGTTTACTGGCGCCCCTATATGTACATAGAACTATGTAGCTACAAATATTTTCGACGGATAACACATAACATGGACATAGCATGTTACCTATTGGTCAACTATTTGTGACGTAGTTTCGCAGTTCCATTTTATGCACATAGAAGCGTTGATGTCTAAAACTGTTTCTCGCGGGTACGTTCAGTGCGCACGATGGGAAAAGTGATGGAAAGCAACCTTTTCCATGATGGCCGAGGTTGCGACGAGGATCTCATGAATTTTCTGTAATATATCAGGATTTTGTGTATTAGAATGGCCATGATTTCCAAAACCGCGGTTGGCATTGCGGTTGGGATCGCTGGGATCTTTGTTGGCTATTGTTTCTACTTTGATCAAAAACGCCGCAGTGATCCCGATTTCAAAAAGAAGCTCCGCGAACGTAAGTTCTGATTTTTCATTCTCGTGCACGCGTGACTTCCTCGTGGTGATGTACGTTTCTAAGAGAAATCAATATATCTCTGGTAAAGACAGGTATAATTCTCTTGACAATGTACATTACATTCAATCATCCAGCTCATTTTATACATTTGTACATTTATATACATAATCCTTTTTTATATATTTAAAAATCATTTCATTTGAATATTTATTATTGCATTAAAAATGTAATTATAGATATAGGGAAAAGGGGAGCAAGATGATGATCTTTAAGGTTTGTCAATTTTTCCTAATTTCTCTGATAAAGAATAATTTATAATATATTTTTCAGATTCATTACAGTCTTGATTATCATTCGTAAAAATTAAAAAGTTGTAAAATAAATTAGAATTTTTTTTAAATTTATATTTTTTAAGAACATATCAATTTCATTATCTTGTCCCTATATCATATATATATGAGTAAGATGACTTTCAATAACGGATAAGATTATAGAAAGGCACGAATGTATTTTTTATAAATAAAAAAATTTGTTTTATTATAATAAACATTTCTTATATTATTTTGATATTATAATATAAGAATGTAATTAAAGAAAAATAAAGAATGAAAATATATACTAAAAAGATAATAAAATTAATGAATTGCATATGATAAGATTTATTTATACAAATAATCTATATTAAATGTCTTATTTCTCTTTCCTTTATATAATATTTTGTTATGCCTCAAACTATAAAAAATGTACATAGTTCTTATTCTTTGTAAAAAAGATTTTATTTTTATTTCATAGGTAGAAAGGCTAAGAAGCAAGCTCAGAAAACTTCTTCGAAGATGCCAGATTTGAGGGATCATGAATTGGTGCAGAAATTCTTTCTGCAAGAGGTAAAACTTGCTATTACTGTGTATGTATCTAACTTTAATTCTTTAAAATTTATTTAAACTTATTATTTAATAGCTTCTGCCTCCAAAGTGTAAGGAGGCAATACAACCACATCATGTCACAGATGATCATCAATTAACTTTTAAGATTTAAAAATTAGTTGATTTAATCAAATTTATCTTTTAATCACTTGAATGCATAATCGGTGAACCTCCTTAGTTTAAGATGCAATTGGGATTCTTCTAATTATAGATGGAGCGTTAAATATTGGCAGTATCCTACATGTCACATATATGAGGCATGGATAAGATCAAATCTGGATCTACGGATTGCTAGTCCGTGGATCGAGCACCAAGCCACTCAACGCCTCAAATATATTTAAACATGTAATATATTGTTTAGGTTCAACTTGGGGAGGAATTGCTGGCTTGTGGTGAAATAGATGGCGGAGTTGAGCATTTGGCTAATGCAGTAGCAGTCTGTGGACAGCCAGCCCAGTTGCTGACAGTTCTTCAGAAGACTCTGCCACCACCAATTTTCCAAATTCTGGTGCAGCGACTACCCGTTGTTGGCCAGGTACAAATTAGTTAAAAAAATATATTTAAAATGAGAAGTAGTATTCTTTTTTTAAATTTGCTTTCTTACAGAAAATTGTATCGCAAACCCAAATGGCAGAGGAAGATGTTGAGTAGAGGAATATAAAATTTTGTTGACAATACTTAAATAAAATCTGAAATTAGCAAAGAGTTTGCTCATCTTTGCACAATATGGGTGCGAATATAGTTTACATTTAGAAAATCCTACATTTGTACAATTCGTTGTCCCGTATTAAACTTCCATTTTTCTTAGTAGATGTATGTACCAATCGTATATTAAAAATTTTTACAAATATTCATTATTTTATTTTGTCAAACGGATATATTTTAGTATCCGTTTATTTAAATAAAAGAAATTTTAATTCAACAGCGGTTCTGACAATTTTTGACAAATGTAAAACATAGTATTCTGATGCCAAATCAAAAATTTAATTTCTTTTCAATGCTCCAATTATATTAATGTACGTTCTTGAAAAATATAAACATCTCAAAAATTTACATATAAACATTTTTAAACATTTTTGTGAAAAATATATATTCGATACAAACATATTGCATATTGCTAAAACAGTGGTAATTTTAATATATTTAACATCAGATATAATTGTCCTATCGCATTTTGTATGTAGTCACTATTTATATTGATTTTATATTCTGTGAGAAACACTAATTTATTCTTATTGATTCACATATCTTATTTTTATTAATAATATTTTTTAACCAAGAAGAAATTTTGTTTTTGTTTGGTATGTATTATATACATACACATATATATGTATATATATAATTGTTATACAAATTAACGTACAAGTTACTATACAAGTTAAAGTTTCAAAACATGATAAATTTCTAACAGATTACATATAGCTACTGCTTTAATCCAATTCTGAGCAACATACGTCATTTGTATGTTCAAGAATTGACGCTAATAAAATGAATTAGTATATTTATTACATGTTTTGATTAGCTGTGTTCAATAGAATACGCTGTCACTATCACATTTGCAATACTAAGCATATACGTTGCCTTACTTTGGTGTAGTAAATGTGGAAAAGTGACTTGTACAACACCACAATCTACGGATCCAATTGTAATCTCGTGCAATTATTGTAATTATCTAAGCTATATTCAATATGTGCACATTTATTATAAAAATATGGAAGATTTACTTGCTCAGGTACATTATTATATTCTTGAAGCATTTACGAAAGATATACAATTGGAAGATTATTGTAAATCTTATGATGTGTGTCGCTATAAATTTACGCAGAAATATATATGTATTTTGTAGATAAAATCTAATGTCGCTATAAATGCTATAAGCTCTAGAAATTATTTTGAAAATATAGATGTATATTGTTATATATCCGAAGATATTTAACTTTCTCTCTCTATACATATAATAACAATTCAAAGATATACAATACATAATACTTTTGGAAAAATTATATTCTTATATAAGATATTTAGAATTCTATCAAATGAGCATAAAATAAAGAAATATACATAAATAAAAAATATATTTACTGCGCAATTTTAAAGAATATTTTATATTAAACACTCTTACATTACTATTAAATTACTATTTGAAATCAATAATAAAAATATAAACCTTTATTTACATAATGACATTATACATATTTAATTTTTTCCATTATAGCTTTAATCATTCCCATATGTAATTATGTTCACATATTACAAAAAATTCGGTCCATATACATATGTTTTACACAAGAATATCTTTTTATCGGCATATATATATAAATAACAGACGAAAAATTCAATTATGAACAATAAAATTACACAATGCTTTTGCTTGATACTTTGTAATTTTATATATAGTATATTTAATAATACCTCAAAATGCAACATAAAAGATCGATTTGATTTATTAAAATAACACCCAAAAGTCAACAGAATCAAATTATATATATATATATTAATGTTCATAAATTGTACATGTACAAAACTTGATTATTGTAATCTATTTAATATAAACGGAATTATATACATGACATTAATTATTGTAAACTATACATGGCAGTGTTTTACAACAAACTTATTTTCAACAATAAAATTTCTATATAATTTACTTTGTGAACAAAATAATTAGGGATTATTTACATAATCATACATATAATTATAATAATAATCGTGAGCACAATTTGTTCAGAACGTAAATACATCAATAAGAATTTCAGTAATTTGTATTACATATTTTATATTATTTCCAATGTTTTTCACTGTTATAATTACAATTATTTTGTACTTTTCCTGAATCATCAAATAAAATAAATAAAATGTGTATGACATATGCAAAAGCAGAGAGAGAGAGAATTGCAACAGTACAAAAAATATGATTTGTATTCTAATTGTGTTTTCTATCTTGAGCATGTATCAATAAAAATATATAATAGATTTACAGTCGTAAGACATTGAGATTGGGAAGTTATTAATAATTAATTGTGTGTGTCATTTTACAGCAATATACATTCTCTATGTGTATATTTTCAACCAAGATCTTATTTGACACAATTATTTTGAATCTAAAATTTCATTTCTAGCTTGTGACATTACATCGAGAGCATTTTTCTTTATAAGATTTTTGGCCAAATCTTTACCAAGGAATTCTGCACCAAGAAGACTTATACTACTTATTTTATAACTAGGAATAACACTGCAATAAAGGCGAGGTTCCTGATACGGACATTTTCTATCATAAAAGAAAAAAAAGATAAACCAATATAAAATAAATGAAATATGCAATATACTCAAAGATATTCATTGATAATATAACATCGACATCAGTATGTTTAATCTTATACAAAAATATTTTTAAAAATATTAAAAAATCATATTTAACTCACCGAGGAGGCTCACCATCGTCATTAGGTAAATATAATTTGCTTTTAGAAGTATCTGTAATCAGAGTTTGACCATCTAGAGACCATACAGCACCGGTAATCGTTAACTCGTTCTTCTTCAAAGATGAAGATACCGCGACTGGTGCGGAACATCCGCCACCAAGGGTTTTTAGAAATGAACGCTCGC